GCAGAGTCTGTTACCACCTTTTGTTGTGCCACTGATTTTTCCTTTCACATAGCACAACAAAGGATATCCACATCTCTGTGCTCAAAAAAGGTTTCTTGCTCATCATGCAGCAGGCAAGGAAGGTTTTAAACTTATGGAGATAAATTGAACCGTTCTTAATGCAGTGTACCTGTCATATGAAATCTGCTGACAAACTGAATTTACAAATACAGGGTCACATACCACCATGAGAAGCATATATATGTACAGCAGGTAACAAAGCTAACCTAGGCAGAGAGGTAAAAAGGTCAAAGAATATATTATTTCTTTCTTCTTCAAAAAATGTAATGCTAGCAAAAAGGACCACATTGGCTTTATAAAACATATTCCTCCATCCTTACAACAAGTGTGGACTGTAATGCATATTCCCTGCACTTCCTGTAGCCTTGTTTCTGCAGAAGTCCTCCTTAGGTGTGAGAGAGTTCCTTCTCTTTGCCTATTAGAATAAGGTGAGACAGTCAACATACATGTTAGCTGTTATGGGGAAGGATAATGACTTACATGCAATCTTGCCTCAATCTAGATCTTTCTAATTTTAGCTGAAAACAGTAATTTAGAGATCAAATGGGTCCACACCCCATTACTAAATAGTTGACATGCAATTCTCCATGAGTCTGGGAAATTTAAATTTTACTCTAAAAAGTCTGCCTTTTTTCTTTCTCCCTTTTATATGGGATGCTTGTTGTATAACAAGCTATTCCTTGTTGGTTACATAGCTTTATCAAATATATAATTCAGTATTTTCTTAGGGACTGTCAGTTTGTTTGCTAGAGCAGAGCTTGTGGTATCTCATTATACTTGACATGGCATAGGTTTCTCATGTGGAAGTTCTAGAAAATGACCTTACAGTTTCCAGATAGCCTGTCACTCTTTATGTCATCCAGTGTTCCATCTCCACGAATATAACAGCTAAAAAATCCTTGATGTTTTTGTCTATCTTGACAGCAGCTGATTTTACTCCAGTTTTAATTTTGCCAACATTGTATGCCCTTTAAAAACAAGGTAGCAGTAATTAACATGCTTCGAACACACAAAAAATGCATTTGCAAGGAATGCCTCAGGGTAAGTTGTTTTTATCTTCCTAAAGTTTTGTATCTCTCCAGTAGCTGAAAACTACAGTCTGTAAAGGTGAGAAAATGAGGAAAGCTAGTAGAGCAGAAGTTTATTATTTTATCATAGCCAACACTTCATCAAGACAATGAGGAATCATTGTTGCTGTTAAGGAAAAAAAGTGGCTTTATGTGCATCCTAACAGATTTTGCAGTGGTGTTCTATTCAAAATTATCTCACAATTGGTTTACGCACAGTTTTTTGTACCAGTATTGAAGTAGTTTTACTGAAAGGGTTATACCAATACAGTCTCTAATTTGGATGAAGGTGCTTTATTCCAATATGTCATGTTCCTTTTCTGATGTGGGAGTTACCTTTGTGTTTGTGTGCACCTTTAGGGTCTTGTTACACGTTACACTTGAGACTTGTTAAAATGCTAGTCTCCGAGCCTTCAAGCAGTAAAGCACATGTTAAGTGCCATCATAATGTAGCAAAGTTAAGACTTTTCTGGCAAAGTGTACCTCCAGATCATATTACCTAATACATGTTGATGTCCGTCCACTCAGTGACATAATACTATCAGGACACTCTGGTGCAGTGTGGAGGCTGGGGTGGACAAACAGCTGTTTGTCAGTTCCAGCCCCACAGCACACTGTAGTACACTGCAGTTTTCAGTGGCTCTGGTACTTAGGGTATGTTTTATTTAGATCAGTGTTGCTCAAATGTTGGGCCCCACAAGCTAGAAGAGGGATGCAGGGCTGGTCTGTTAGGCTTCAGGTGCCCCCTATGCACCAGAGTCAGGCCTCATGCAACCCCCACGTGGTGGAATCAGGTTCTGTGCTGCCTTCACCCAGCCCTGCATACTGAGATCAGGCCCTGTGTCATCCCAAAATGGACTCCATTGAACTTGGATATTTTACTGTTAACTCATTTTTAATGGAAGTTTTGTTGGGTGGCTTAATTTTTGAAAAATAACAAGGGTCAATAGTGAAGTACAAGAAACATCAAAACATGCAGTGTGCAAGGTTGCAAAAGTCCCTGCTCCACACTCTATCAAGTCATTAGAAAGTCTCTTATTTGTAAGGTCAGTTATATCTTCTCTCCCTGTGAAGATAAGGGTATGTATAAGCCTTACATTTAGAAAGACCTAACCCTGAGTCAGATTGACCAGGGTTCGGTCGGTCTAAATACCCACTCATGCAGGCATTTGCAGGGTTCAGATCAGCCAAAAAATGGCACATTCAGTCTAATTTAGTTCACTTAGTTTAAGCCTACACTTAGGCCAGCCATAAAGATGGCATCCATAAATTACTCTTCTTATGCTTGCTTCATTAGGTTATAAAAAAGACATAACAACATATCTGGTACCAGAACTTGTACATCTCTGTAATACTCACTGATGAGTCAAGAAATGACGTGTCAAACCTTTGAGGGACTGTAAACTGTGTCAGAACCTTCCATTGCCCATTTACTGATGCGATCTTCACAAAATGGATGGCATTAAAGTTAGACAGTATACTCCCTGGACTCTGATTAGTTAAAAGAGAGCATGCACTTTTTTCAGCAGCATAGTTGCTTCTTTTAAGAATTTTATATGTTTTTTAAATTGGCTATTGTGTTTGCTTTTCTTGCTCATTAACCGTATTACAATGGTAGAAGGAAAGTACTGAGAGTGACTACCTCAGTGAGTTGGATTTAATCACATCCTCTTCTTTTCTTCAGTCACCTCTGTAGTAACCTTAATTAAAACAAAGTTGCAGCAATACCAGTTAATTATCTTAACCCACTTGCCCAACAGAGATGTAAGAAAAAATACCAGTCCCATTATCATCCAAGAGTAAAGGATTATAACACACATATACACAAAAAAACTCTGAAGCCATCTGGCATCTGAAGACAATTTTGCTACAGCAGGTCTTGCTAAAACATTTTTTTTTCTGCTTTGCATAAAAATTTGTGAAATCCATTAAAAAGGGTTGTCAGCCGGGGTTATGTGTACCCCCAGGGGTACTTGGGAAGGCCCTATGGGGTACAGGCGGGGACAGAGCGCTGCCACCCACCACCGCACACTGGTATAGCAAAGGAGCAGGGCTGGGGGGAAGGGGTGCAAGGGCAGTGGCGTCCCTGTGCAGGCTGCACAGGCACCACCTGGATGTCTGGACACAGGGGGAGGGAGGGAAAGAAGCTCAGAAGCGGCAGCCACCACCACCACCCCACGCTGCCACTGCTCTGCAACCGGCTGCATGCCACCGCCACCACCCCCTCCCCATTCCTTGTTGTGCTGCCAGGGGTACACTTATTGAAAAAGGTTGAAAACCCATGCACTAAGGCATAATTCTGTATTGGGTAGGTCTGCCTGGGCACAGGGTCTGGGGAAGAATGTTAAGGGGATGAAACATCTCAAGTACCAGGGAACTTACATAAAATGTTATTAAATGACATGCAACTCAAAAACAACTTATTATTATTACACACAAGAATTTTATTTTAGTGAAAGACCAAGTCATTATATTGCTGTTACAAATAGGTACAGGGCTTTAATATCTACACTGGACAGAACATAACAAAACAAATATAAAGGATAAAGGATGAGGGATAGAAAAGTAAATAGAAATAATGAGCTTGATTTTATAGTGAATTGCACCAGTTTTAAATATTGTTTTACTTGAGTGATTGCAATAGAATCCATACATAATATAGTAAAGAATCCGCCCTGCCTTTATTACAAACACATTTTGTTAATTGCTGTTCTAATTATTCATTATTAACCTTAATTTTTATGTTATATGATATAATTTGAGGGAACAAAAATTGAAGAGGATGTCAGGAATGGAGGAGAGGATTGAAAAACAAAATTTAAAGTGTGTAAAAACAGTCTGTGAAATAAGAGGGACAGAAAGTTCTACTCATATATATCCTGAGTATGAGTGCAATATTAAAATATGTGAAAAGGCTAGTACAATGGTCAAGATGTATATTAGACAGTATTTCAGAACTAACCCTGTTCATTGTCATTGCTTTTACTACTAACTAGGTAAGAAATTAATCTGTATGGTTTGTACTATTTATGATCAATACAGCTGGCTACCTTGGATAAATGTTGTTAAGAACCTTAATTTGCAGAATAAATTTCAGTGCTTCACCTAGACTAAAATCAACAGTTAATCTTTGATTTTTATCTGGTATTTCAGGCTGAGGAGTTAGTAGTAGTGCTAATTACATCATTCAAATGGTTCTTTGACTTCTAAGTAGTAAGACTGCATGTGTATGTGAACTTAAATGAATAAATGATAGCAAGGAACCGCTCTCCTACCAATAACATAAAATATGCACTTAACATTCTGTAAGTTTTTATGATAATTTGTTGTCATAATTTCTTGGACTATTATTATATTTCAGAAAACTGTGCAATGTAATTAAGCATAAGTCTTGCTGCAAATAATTAAACTACTCAAGTTTCTCTTTTATTGCACCTTTCAATTATCTGGTTTTATATTTTGGGATGTAACTTGATTTGTTACCAAATTTGAAAGGATAACATATAGTTAATATTAGGTTTAAATTGATCTTTTTTCAAAATTGAGTTAAAAATGTATAAATTCCACCTCCTCCCCCGCCTTCCCAGATCATAGTGTGTGAGATGAAACTTTTCCCAAAACAATTCTTTCAGTGACAGAAAAGTCACCACAGGCTCAGAAGAGCCCAGGATGCGGAGATTAATATTTGGAGACATGTCTTGTTTCCCTTCTGGCTCAATGTTGCAGTTCTGGCTGTTAAAAAGGGAGTTGTAAGGGATTTCTCTTGGGCAGCACACCACATAACTTTTATTTCTTTGTGTCACTGCAGTCTTTCTTATTGTCAGATGACTCATAAAAGAACTGGTAATTTTAACTAGCTCCCTTTTCTTTTAGGTGCAACAATGAAAATGAATGGTACCAGATCCATGAAAACATTATCCGCAAGTCCAGCACCAAATACACAGCACCTAGCTCAAACTATGGTAATTATTTTTATTTCTTTATTACTTGATTTCTTTATTTTGCTACAGTAACTGTTAAAGAGTTCTTAGATTAAACTAAGAATTTTGTGTGGCATGTTCCACATGATCTCCCATCACACCTAGCCAAGTGCTCACTTTATTATTTGTGATGGATTTGGTACTTTTTCAGGTAAAACTTTATTGGGCTAGATCCTGTTTTCCTTAATTGGTATGTATGGAGCCATGTAACTGCAGTTTTGTGTAATTAGGCCCCTGACACATTATACTTAAGACTCAATTAACAGGTTAATTGTGCCTTAAATAGTAACCGCCCACACATGCAACTTGGTTTAAGGAGTGATGATGATGCAGTAAACAAGCCACAAAGTTATTCCACATATACTAGTTCATTTGTATCATGCCTTAAATTGAACATGTGGCTGGGACCTGTCAAGACCCCATGTGCCACCAAGCTAATGGCATACCTGGTTTCATAGCAGGGCATCAGACTATGGCAGCCCGAGGCTGGGCTCCCATGTACTGGGAACTATATAAACCAGGTATGTATGTAAGGTCTGGTAAGTACCAAAATAATAGTTTCAGAAAAACCACAGTTAGCAAGTGTTAAATGCTGGGAGCCATGGGCGGCTGAGGATTGGCATATTTAGCTCAGGACTGTCCAACTTCAGTGGCCCCTGGGCTGCACAACACGCAAGCCATATACTATAGGGCAGGCCTCCAGGGTCCCCCACACTTCCCCTGGCCTGCCCATCTTGAAATCCATTTTCTGTTCCTTGCTGTTTGGACAGTGTCAGTGCATAGTAGGGGTGTGCGAAATGGGTCAGATTTGATTCAGATTCGGCCCAAATCAGAGACAGTGATTCAAATTAGTTGATTCAATCACAGTCCCAGTTCAGTTCAGCCAACTCCAAATCTAAAGATTCAATGCTGATTCAGTGAATCAGTGATATGGCCATAAACACAGCTTTATATGTTTTTTCTATATACCTTGAGGGTACCAGGCAGCTCATGAATGCTGAGATGAAGGGAGCGGATGGAGCATTGCACAAGAGTGCAGGGGGTAATTCCGGTCCACTTCCAGATCCGCTGGCTCGGTGATTGGCTGCAGGGGGACCCCAGGTGCCTCCCCAGACCCAGAAAGCACCAGCCGCCAAGCCGGGGGGCAGGTCCCCACACGCTCCCCAGTGGACCCAGAAGTGGACCAGAAGAGCTTCTGGTCCACTTCTGGGTCTGCTGCCGAGTGCACTGAGGAGCCCCCCGTGCTCCTGTCAGGCACTCCATCCGTCCCAGCATCTCAACATTCACGAGCCGCCTGGTACCTTGAGGTACGTAGAAAAAACATTTAAAGCTGTGTCTATGTCTGAATCATCAAATCTTTCCAAATCTCTCCGAATAGATTCGGAACGTTCCAATTCAGTTTGGAGAGATTAAAGTGTCTCCTGATTCAAGTGGATTCAGAGATTTGGCTGCTGAATCGGGCTGAATCTCCTCTGAATCAAATCAGAAACCAAAGCTTCACACAGCCCTCTGGGATCCCTCCCATATTCCCCATGGGGAGCCTGGAGCGTGGGGGGCCTTTCCTGGGCTTTCATCGATCCTGCTACTGTATGGGAGAGGTGACTGCAGGGGTCTGCAGGCTTCATACTGGTCCCTTACAGGCTGCCAGTTAGACAGCCCTGTTTTAGCTGAATAGCCAGTGATTAAGACATATGTCTAGAGAACCGGAGTTCCAGGTTTTAAACTTCCTCTTACCCAGAAGTAGTTTGAACCTGCATCTGTTACTCCACAGCAGAGTGTTCTAACAAAAAGGCTACAGGTTATGTATTATCCAAACTGTTCTCTAGCCATCCCTTAGAAGCTGAACCCTGGGCAGTCAAGAGAGGGAGACATATAGGGCCAGGAGGAAGAGAACAGGCCAGAGGGTATGGAGTTCGGTGAAATGAATGCTGCTCTGAAGTGGCATAAGTGCCAAAAACTGAAGGTACATAGTTGCACACACGCTATTAAGTCATGTAAAATGAAATAATATTTAGGCCACTGTGTTCAGTTTATAAGTAGAAGTATATCTCCTTTTAAGTCACACTGGGCATGTCAAAGCATACACATTTACTGCACAGTAATTTAGGTTACTGCGCAGTAACTGAAAATTACTATGCAGGATGGGCTTGCATCTACACATGCATGCCTGTACTGTGCAGTTACTATGGCAACTTACGCTGACTTGAGCGTAAATCTGATACCTGCATTATGCAGGTATCAGATTTACACCCAATTAGTCACTGCACATTAACGCACGTGTAGACACCTTACTGCACAGTAACACTGTGTGTGTAGACTGATTTGGGATTAACTTTAGTCCCAAGTCAGTCCAAACACAGCGTTACTGCACTTTAACAGCTCCACATGTAGACACCAACCTAAAAAGTACTTACTGTGCAGTAACTTACTGAGTTATGAGCAGTAAATTACTGAGTTACTGAACAGTAAATGCACATGTAGACATGCCCACTGACTGTTTACCATAGATCTTCTCCTGCTCATGCAGTGTCAGTAATAATAAATGATCCCAGAGATTACATTTTCTTCTTAGTAATTTCTATACATTTCTGCATTCCACAGGGCTGTGCTGCAGAGGCAGCTAGTGGCCTGCTCTAGTAATACCTTTCTGTGTGATTCTTCATTCGTATCTGACTTTTACTGGGCATTTTTATATGCTTATGAAAGCCAGTAACTAAGAAAAAGCCAGTAGCAATATTTTTAACTATCTGCATTAGCAAAACTATTCTATATGTCCATTGATAACAATATGTTTCTAGTTAAGTGGTCCTATGCAGGCTCAGCAAGATATAGAAGATTTGCAAAGTAGTGAACAAAAAAAAAATCTCTCTTAATTATACTGGATCATAAAGCTTTCCTCCTTCACCAAGGGAGAATACCACTTCCATGAAACTTTCAGCAGTTACACACACCTAAGATATGCTGATGTGAAGACACCATAAATCTCTGTCTAGAAGGGAAGTGGAAATATAAATAAATAAATATTAAATTTGCTTAAGATACTTACCTGAGTGGTCCAGAGAAATACCAGTGCATTCACACCTACAAATTAACTATCATGAAAGCTAGTTCTGATCATTTCAGTTCAGATTTGCTTCATAAATAGCTGGGTGGAATTATTGTCTTGACAGAGTTCTTGTCATATTCAGAGTTCAATTTTATTCTATTATTCAATTAAACATAAATTTAAACTGTGGGGGAGAGCGAGCCCCTTCCCAGTGAGGAGCTGTGCTGCGGGTTTGGGCTGCACGCGGCAGCTCTGGGGTCTGGGGGCAGAGCCCTGAAAGCCCCTGCAGTGCCAAATCTCCACAGCCTCTGTGCCAGCCCCGCAGCGCAGCCTTGCCAGGAAGCCGTGACAGGCTCCTGCCCGTAGGTTACTCACCTCTCGCTGCTTCAGCTACTGGGTGGGGGTGGGGACAGGGCCAGCCCCTGCTGCTCGTTCTGTGCCAGGGCAAGACACTGAGGAGGCTTATTTAGCCCCCACATTGTTCCCCCCCCGAGCTTCATATGCAGCCTGGACCAGCAGACCCAATGGCCAGCGGTTGATTAAGCCCCTTCCTGCCGAGAAGGGCTTGCTCCAAGCACAGAGGGGCTGCTCGCACTGCAGCCGGGTCTGACCAGCCTGATCTACCTGGCCTGGCCGCTCCTGCCCTGTGCTCGGAGGCAGCTCCCTGCCTTATTCAGCCGCTGTCTCCGAGGACAGGGCAGTAGCAGCCGGGCTGGGCCAGGCAGAGCTGGCTGGGCAGACCCTGCTGCAGTGGAGTGGCCTCTCTCTCTGCTCGTTCTCCCTTAGTGTGATAGGGGCTGCCACCCCCGTAAACAGCTCTGTCCCTCCTGCTGCAGCAGTGGGGAGAGGGCACAGCCAGGCAGGGCCCCTGGGGGGGGCAGGGACTGGGTTATTTCTCTGGCCTCTGGCGGAGGGGACAGTAGGGGGCCTGTTCTGGGCAGGGAGCCACCCGGCTGCCAGTGGGGTAGTGGGGAAACAAACTCTGCTCCTTGTCCCCCTCTGTCTCAGGGGTCATGGTTTCCCCCTGCTGCAGCAGTGAGCAGGGAGTATGGGCATACCCAGCTCGGGTCCCTGCCAGTGACACAGGGAGGGGGAATTAAACCCCTCTCTGGCCAGACCCCTGCCGCTGCTGGTCCCAGCTGAGGCTGCAGAGCAGAGGGGCGGGGCCAGCCTGGCTGGGCTGGAGCAGAAAGCCCTGCCCCTCCCAACCCAAAGAGCATGTCGGGATGCTGGGGGTGTCTGATTTAACTCAAACCGGCAAAGTGTCTGGGACAGACGTTGCATAAACCGGTTTGAGCCAAATCCATTAAGTCTGATACTCCATTCAACCACACTTATCTCAAACCAGTTTCAGCCATTTTCAAACTGGTTTATGTACACTGAATGTCTGTTCTGTTACAGGTTTAAACCAGTTTCTCATCACTTAAACCAGTTTATGCATAATGTGTGTCCCTTGCAGTATAGAATAGATAACTGAGAGGGGGATATGAAAGAGGTCTATAAAATCATAAATGGTGTGAAGAAAGTAACTAGGTATTTGCTGTCTTTCACAATACTAGCACTGTGAGACATGCAATGAAATTATTAGGTAGCAGTTTTAAAACATGTGAAAGGAAGTTCTTTTTCACACCGCATGTAACTGACTTGTGGAACTCATTGCCACAAGCAAGATGTTGTAGAGGCTGCTAATCAAATCAGACTCAAAAAGGGATTGGAGAGGTTCATGCCTCAGTAGCAAAAGTTTGGGTGAGTCAAGGGGTATAAGCCCTTGGTGCTACCTAAGGGGGGCACCTCGCACTCCTCTCCCCTGCACACACACCACACACCTTCACTGCAGGAAGGAGGGCAGATTAGCAGGGGCAGCATGCAGTACAGAAGCAGTGGTCAAAGGTTTGCCACTCTTTGTGGGGGTGAGGTCACCTCCTTTTTCTGTCACTGAAGTTTGATGATTCAGTGATCACTTGACACGCGTGTTGGTGGCAAAAAAGGAGGCGATAAACCCCCACCTGCAGCCCTGAGCCTCCAGCTGCTGCCCATGCTCCATGCGCTGCCACCACACAGGGCACAGTACTGGGCAATTACGCCTCTGTCATGCAGGATAAGTTAATCAGTGGGCTGCAGCTTCCAAATCAGGACCTTCTAGGCCTCTGAATGCTGGAAGCTATAAGGGAAAAAGGGCAGGAACAGAACAGTCAAGGTAAACACTGTATAGATACTCTCTCCCTTAGCCTTTGCTTTCTTCCATTGTGAGGTGAAGGATACTGAACTAGACAGATCTGTAGTCTGAACCAGAGTGGTATTTCTTATGTTCTTGATATATAAATAGAAAAGCAATTAGAGGAATAACTATGTAGACAGCTGAGCTGAAATTAATAATATAATTGATCCCAGTCCAGTTATTCAATGTTGGAAAATACAGAGAGGCATCTAAAGACAGGAAATTACTGACCCATCTTACTTCTTGGTCCATAGCTTGCAGTCTGTTTGACCAGTTACTTATGCTGGGACAGTCGTAAGTACGAAAGGGAATGTTATTATAGATCATCAGTCTCACATCAGGTAGTTAGAGACAAATTTAGAAAATGAGCTTTATTATTGTTTTATGGTGTTCAGTTAGATTAAAGACACTTTGGGGAAATCCCACAGTATTCCTCAATATGGTAATTAAGATAAAAACTTGCATTATTACTGACCAGTGTATTGTAGCCTGCTATATACCAGGTAAGAAATACTGTCTTCTAACTGGTTTACTATCATGCTATAACATATCTTCCAAGTTTAGTTTTGTAATCCAAATTCACAGTCATTTACATTACACTCCTAGCTGTTTCTTTTAGATATATGAAATCTAGGGTGAAAATGTCTCATATCTGGAAAAAAATATGTGAGAGGCAAGGATTTCAGTGGGCGATATCTTTTATTGGATCAACTGCATGGTTGGGATAAACTTAGACAAGCTTCTGACTTGAAGAATGATGTATTGCATTTGAAAGCTTGTCTAAGTCTGTCACCCACAGAAATCCTTGCCTCTCCCATATACTTGTAATAAATGAACTTAATGTAAGAAATTGTTTTCCATACATGCCTTCTGTGGACTGAATTTATGCTCTGGGGTCTGGAAAAATAAATGATTTTTTTTTTTTGTAGGGCTTATCATTTCTCTACAGCTCCTTCGTGGGGACATGGAGCAGATTCAAAGGGAAAACCCCATGATCTTTAACAGAGGCATAGCTATTACCAGAAAACTGGGTTTTCCTGATGTCATAATGCCAGGTAAGCAAAGCACCTCTATCTGTAAAATGGAGATACTGCTATTCACACTTTTCCCTTAACAATCATAATTGGGATGGTAACTTCACTCAAGGAAGGACAATAATATAAGAGTTGCCTTATTTCCAACCTGGAAATTCTAGATTGCATTAAAGCACATCTGTTGCTAATTAGAAGTATTTTTATTGAACCAGTATAAAATAATAAGAGAATGTGTTGAATTGGTATATGTAACATGTTTAACTCCTTTTTCCCATAATCGAGGGAAAGAGCCTGGTTTCTACTTTGTCAGGCTGATTTACACGTTTCATATGACCCTTCAGCATTGCTTTACAGCATACAGGCTGTAATCTGGTCTAGCTGACTTAATTCCCTAGGTAGCTCAGTATACCTAATCCCTGCAACAGTTGTTGTGGCCAGAGCTCTGCTACATTTTGGCTGTCCCCACTTGGAGCAGCCAGTTGGGGTCACTGACAAAAATTAAAGACCCAAAACTGTTCTGAGTTCATTTGGAGGCCAAGCAATGATTTTGTTAGTACTTTACTAGGATTGGTGGACATAAAGGCTGGCATTGCACAGCCTAATTTATATAGAGTAGTGAGAACCTGGTGTAGTAACTGTCAAACATAGACAATACTTGAAATGTCACCTCCTCTGTATATTAAATTCAGGTTCAAATGGAACTTTTTAAAAACTGGGAAATTTTGCTCAAGCACGTTGGGGGCAAATGTGGAATTATTTTCTGTTTTCCATCAATACTGAGTACTGGTGCAACTAACTCTGAGAAATGTTGTAGAAACCATTGTGAGAAGCAGGTAAGAAGTGTTTTTAGAAAATAAACTGTGAGTGATATGATTGGAATGTTAGAATTGCATGCATTTTATTATTAATACTCCTGAAAATACCAAGTTTTTTTGCATTGAGCATATATATAGCAGCTTCACACTTTTAAGGTAAAGCAAACTAAAGAGAACAGATGCAAAATTGCATCTTAGAATGCATTTAATGCTTGAATATAATAAACTATTTCAGTTGATCACACCCAATTTTCTTTAAAATTCAATGCTTAAATCCATATGTAGACACTGATTTAAGTGAACTGATTCTGCTTCAAGAGCTATTTATATATGCCCCTTCCCCACACACGCACACACACGCACACATTTTTTATATGTGGAGCTGTACTTCAGTTTCTTCAGATCCTTGAAGGGTATTGGCTCAAAAAATATCTTTGTAATGTTTCTTTCATTAATTTTGCTCCATCTAGTTTCCAGTTCTGTGTGCTGGTGCAAGTACTGTGTTGCCGTATTGCCTTGGCCTTCCTTACCTCTCTTCTTTCTGGCAGTTTGCTTGCCTGAGGATGTAGACAGAGCAGTCTTCATGCAATGGATGTTTATAATCTAAGGCTCAGGGGTTCTTTAAATGGGACTAACCAATCCACAAATCATCTAGACTTTTTATAGTATATGTGGGGATAAGTCTAGAGGTCAATCCAAGGTCAATTCAGAACATAGATTAAGTTATGGGTACAATATTATGACCTTGTTGGTATTCAACAATTCAGAGGCACTGGGCCCATTTAATCTGATTTAAAGCATGTTCCACAGCATGCCTTTGCAATATTTCTATCACTGAAATATGCCAGACTACTACTTGAAGCTGCATATATATCTAGATAATCTTTATTCAGTAGTACTTTCTTGACTCAACCTTTAGATCAGATGCCTAACTCAAAAGACCCCATCCTGCAATCAGTTTTCAACTATACAATATTCCACGAAGATCTCTCTTGTGGGTATCTTTTCTTGAAGGAGAAAAAACAGTTATGTAGCATAGTATTTGTGGTTCTTTGAGATGATTATTTTTATGGATTCTAGTTTGTGTGTCACGGATGTATGCCTCCCTCGTGTGTGGATCCAAGCTCCATGCTGCCCTGGTGACACACCCCCTGCCCAGCCTGCAGCAGCAAGGGGCACAACCCTATGCTGCTACCCCCAGTGCTGCTGGGTGGGAAGAGGGTGCCTTGTCAGGGCAACACAGGACTTGCAGCCTGCAAGGAACTTCCCTGCCCAGTCATGCTCTGCCCTGCCATACTAGGTCCCACCCACTGCGCTGTGGAGGCCCCAGGGGGTGGGCAGCAGGGTGGGGAGCTCAAGCCCACAATAGGCACCCTGCACCCGCACCCTTCCTGCACACAGATCTGGGGAACATGGGTCCCCCCCTACTCCCTGAGAGTGTTCACAGTGGCAGGGAGCCAACCCTACCTCCCCCTGCCCCCCCAGTGAGCCACCCACAGCCCTGTCCTGCTCCCTGCCAGGGCTCTGCCGCCATGCATTTCAGCCCCTGGCCCCAAGCTCCACCCGCGGCCCATCTGAGCAGCAGCCCCAGCCCCAGCCCATCTCGTTCCCTCCCTCCCTATGGGGGCCTCAATCCCCCATCTCCCCCTGCCAGACATACCTGCGGAAGCTGCTCTCTATACATGCACATGGCGCCCCTGCCTGACTGCCCTCCTCCCACTCCCCCCAGCCCCTTGCAGGCTGGAACTCTGCCCACCTGCAGAGAGCTCTTTGCAAAAGTGGAAAATCCATGTGTTTCTCCATTCATAGGATCATAGAACCAGAAGAAACCTACAAGATCATCAAGTCCAGTCCCCTGCCATGGGCAGGAATTTATTGGGCTCAGATAACCTAGACAAAGTGCCTGTACAGCTTCATCTTGAACACCTCCAAGGAGGGTGACTGCACCACCTCTGCTGGGAATGTGTTCCAGATTCTGGGGATCCTTGCAGCGAAGAAGTTTTTCTTATGTCTAGCCTGAATTTACCCTCTATTCATTTATGCCCTGGTCCTTGTCCTTCCTTGAGGTGCCTTCCTGAAGAGTTGCTCCCCTAGTTGTTGATGCTCACCCCTGGCTTACTTGTAGGTGGCCATCAAGTCACCTCTCAGTCTTCTCTTACTCAGACTGAACAGGCCCGGTTCCCAGAGTCTTTCCTCATAGGGCCTATCCTCCATGCCCTTAACCATATGGGTGGCCCTTCTTTGTACCCTCTCAACCTTATCCACATCCTTCTTGAAATGCGGTGCCCAGAACTGGCTCATTATCAGCTTATTGTCCACTGTAACCTCCAGGTCCTTTTCTGCAGAGCTGCTGCCTAGACAATCAAACTCCAGCCTGTACTGGGCATAGGATTGTTCCATCCTAAGTGCAGGGCTTTGCACTTGTCCTTGTTGCACCTCACGAGATTTCTTTTGGCCCAATCCTCCAATTTATCTATCTACTACCGCCTGCCAGCTTGGTATCATCTGCACACTTGCTGAGGGTGCACTCCATGCCATCTTCCAGGTCACTGATGAAGACATTGAACAAAACCGGCCCCAGGACCAACCCTGGGGGCATTCCACTTGATACCAGCTGCCAGCTTGACATCAAGCCATTGATTAGTACTCTCAAGCGCAATGCTTCAGCCAGTTTTCTATCCACCTTACAGTCCATTCATCCAGCCTGTACTTCCTTAGCTTGCCTGGGAGAATGTTGTGGGAAACTATATCAAAAGCTTTGCTACATCCACCAGTCTCCCCACATCTATAGAGCCAGTCATCTCATCCTACAAGGCAATCAAGTTGGTCAGGCATAATTTGCCCTTGGTGAATCCATGCTAACTGTTCCTAATCAACTTTTTCTCCACATGGTGAACTACTGCACTGCATATACTTTTATTTCCTCTTCAGCCCTGCAGCTTAGCTGCACTTTTCTTTCCCATTTCCAATTATTCCTTTTTCTTCACCAATCTTAAATGTCTGGCAAACATCACCAAACAGTTCACTCAGAATCCATCTGTTGTCCTCCACTCAGCCTGTTGCCTACGATTAGTGTGGCCCTACACTCAATGAGGTGGAGCTGGACCAGGTTGTGACATATACATTTTTGGAGGATCCCAAGACTTATGACAAGAACATCCAATTCCAAACATCAGTGGGGTCTAAGTAGCACATGGATCCTTTGTGGGTGGTATCCTGAGTAGACACACATACTGAGCAGTGTTAAACTATGGGGTCACCATGGCTTAAAATGCTGTTGACTGCTGGGACCCAGCCCAATGAATCATTTGGTAAATCATGAGCAACAGTTTCGAGAAAGATAGATAAAATGTATCAATTCTGAATGAGTTAAATCTCTGGGTATTGTGTGCATTTTACTATAGCTATGTTTATTTCAAGGCCAGTATTTTTTAATTTGTTCCTCACTTCCATGTGCTTAGTGAGATTAGGGTCTGACAGTAAGGAAGGGGGGAAGAGAATGCAGGGGGAAGAACTTTGGGGGAGGTGAAATGCAAAGGGGCTTCATGACCCCCCCCCCCCCC